TTTGCCCTCCTGCCCTGAAGGGTGTCAAACAGCCCGCGGCCTCCTAAGCTCTGAGCCTCTACTGGTCAGGTTACCTGGGCCAGATATTTTTTAATCAGTAAAAATGAGTTTTAAAATCTAACATGTTAAGCTTGGCCCTCCCTTCTCCTGGTCCCCCTGAATTGCCTGGGCTCACGTTCTAACAGGACGGGGTGGGGGGGATGGGGACAGGGTCCCACTCAGATCCGCCGAGTTCTGACCCAGCAGCTGGGCATGTGCGGGAGCGTCGAACCCAATACTGAGGTTTTTTTTTATCTGACCGATGATTCTGTAAAGGTAATTGGGGGGCGGGGTGGGCGCTGTGAGGGCTGGGTGTGTGTGTGAGCGTGTTTTTACGGTGGCTGTCTAAAGTATTTTTACAACATGTTTAATAATCAGTGCTTTAAAAGCAGTGGTTTCCTACAAAGTGGAAACTAAGGTCTAAGCCTGGGAGTGATGTCTGGTCTGGGGGCCGGGGCAGCGGGAGCCCGGCCTGCCTTCCCATTTCGACGGGATACAGTACTTTTTTAAAAGGAGCCATACTTTTTTTTAAAGTTTGAGAAATGAATGTGATTTCTAATTGTCTCAGACATTAATGTTTTAAAGCTATAACAAAGTTTAAAATTTCTACATTTCGTTTTTCATTTATTGTAACTGTTCTTTTATCTATTAAATTGTATGTTGATGGGCAAGTCCTGTGTCTCCTCTTAGCATTTGTTTCTATAACCAGAAATAAAGTTATATATTAAAGAAACGACACTGGGCCCCGGTGTGGTCCTTGCGTGAGCGGCCGCTGAGGGCCAGAGCTGGGTGGGCAGGCGGCCCCGGCTCCCAGCGCGGAGCGGCCCTTATGGAGACCGGCTGCCCCCCTTGCCCTTGGCGGCTGCTCCTGGGGAAAAGGAGACTGACAGGAACACGGTCTGGGCGGTGCCCCAGCCCCGTGAGTCCCTGAGGGACCGTCTCTGCAGCTTCAGGGACGTGGTTGAGGATATTTTTTCCACTGATTATTTTAGAGAGAGTAGAAGGGAGGGGGAAAGACAGAGAGAAAAACATTTATGTGAGAGTGACACATCTATTGGTTGCCTTTTGCCGGGACGGGGGATTGAGCCTCCAACGGAGATACATGCCCTTGAGTGGAATCGAACCGGGAGCTCTGCTCAGCCACAAGCCAGGCTAATGGCTGCCAGTACAGCAATGATGGCGGGAGCCTCTCCTGCCTCTTCAGCAGCACTAAGGATGTCTGACTGCAGCTTAGGTCTGTTCCCTGCTGGCAAGTGGACATCCCCTGAGGGCTGCCGGGCTGCCAGAGGAATGTCTGACTGTCAGCTTAGGCCCGTTCCCCTGGGGAGCGGGCCTAAGCCAGCAGGTGGACATCCCCTGAGAGGTCCCAGACTGCAAGAGGGCACAGGCCAGGCTGCCTCCTCGTCTGCACTTGAGCTCCCGGAGGGCGTCTCAGAAGCGGAGTCCAGAATCCGCAGTGAGAACCTCGCCTCCCGCCACCCCCGGGACCGCGCTCACTGCCGGCTGCCCTGCGGATCTAGCATTTACCCGGGGCCGGGCCGCCAGGACGGCTGCAGATCTGACCCTCGTCTCCGTAGTTCCCTGAGGACAGGCGAGGCCTCCCCTTCACGCTTCCTCAGCCAAACCCAGGAGACCCGGCCACCGCCTGTTCCGTGAACGGTGAACGAGACGCCACACACATGGGTCCTCTCGGCTCGACTCCCCCCACCTCTCCCATCCGCAGCCCTGTCCCCAGTCCTGC